TCATGACATAATTGTAATTGCTTAAACCACTTTTGTTGGGATATTTTTTCCACCTTAATTACCTTGTCATTTACTATTAGGGATGTTAATATGGTCATTAAATGTTGCAAATAGCTTTCTGGTTTTGTCGTCTGTCTGGTTCACACTCCTGCAGTTCAGAAATGTCCAGCCATATGCATATTTTTATACTTTGACATGTCTGAAACTATGCTCAACACCGAGTTTATTACAGCACTAAATTGATGAACTTGCTCTAATAATCAATGTATAAATAATCAATTTAATGCTATAATAAAGAAAACCTAAAACAGCCAAGTCTCTGTTGACTGTGGTGAGCTGCAGTGACATTTGGTGGTCGTGAATGGCAACATTTGTACAAGCTTCATTTAGAGAAGGTGGCAGGTTAATTGGAACAAAACACAAATGCAGTACAACATCCATAATAAGCAGCCTGTACCAGCAATATAAAGGCAAAAAGAACTGAAAACCTGTTTCCACTCCTTCCAGACATCCTCTTTTATTCAGAATAAGGAGATATCTTGAAGTAGTACCAAGATGTTTTTATACATTTATATGAAAATACACTAAGATATCTCAGCAGGCATAAAGTTGTTTTTCTTCCTCTACAAACAAAATGTAGGTCCATACTCCTATTGCAGCAGCTGGATACAGTGTAGGTTAATGATATAGCTTGCTTGGATTCAAGAGCTGGTTCAAGAAAAAGTTAAACTAATGGAAGCTGGAACCAGTATGGGAGGGGTAATACTCCCCAGCGTGACACATCGTAAGTGTGTGTTACACAGTGTTCCTTGGTTTTCAGTTAACATATACTCATGTATCTCCGCACACCAAAGTCACAGAGCAAAACCCAAAACAGGAGCTGATGAAAAATTGGCAGCTTCTATGGCAACAACATCAATATTTATCTGTAAAAATTACAAGCTTCAGCTAGGACTCTAGAAAAACACTTAAATCTTACAAATTGATCACTAGCCATATTTTATAGTGCAGTTTGCATATCTGAATTTCTGAGATATGCACTCTTACCTTCCCGGAGTGCCATACACACGCTATGACAGTTACACAGGAACCAAGACTGATATGCTGAAAAATGCTAATTGACAGTCAAAGTTAGCTCTGCAGATAGATTAAACTGTAAAAGAGATTGTTTTCCCAAAGAGTGGATGCTTATCACTGAGTTCATTTTTAACACGCTCAGGTTGACTGCACTATTTTGTCATCAAAACCATAATCCTAAATTGAGTTACCAGAAGAGGTTTGGTTTACTTTTTATTTTCCATCTTTCATGGATTGAAGGGGCTAGGTATGGCAGATACCCTTAATCCATCACTTCAGCAGAGGCAAAGCACATGAGGAGCGGTTCATCCTCTCCAGTATCAAGCAGCTGACAAAGACAGGTCCTTACCAGCAGGATCTCAGGGCTCTTTATGTTGTACCACTTCAGTTGGAAAGACCTCATGCAGGGCATATGCAACAACCCTGCTTGCAGTTCAACAGCCTACCTCATGAGGGATTTGCAATATTACAGTCCTCCCAAAATTAATGTACATTTTGCATTCCCTGAAGGCACTACAAATAAATAAATAAGAGCTATGGGATCCGTATCATGTCCAACAGTGGATAACTGGAATATGCACTGAGTATTTGCTACCCTTTTCACAAACACATAGACGCCATTACCCCAAAGGGCTACTGCAGATTTACATTAATTATTAATATGCACCTCAGCAGCACACTCTGCCCAATTCAAAGTGAGATGCAGAATAATTTGTGTACAAACCACCCCAGAAAGTTTACAAATTCAATTAAGGAAAAAACGCAACTAGCTGTGGAAGGGAAGATAAATGTTATATAGGCAGGAAGGCATTACCTATAGTGACTAATCTGCAGGCACAGCTAAAGTGCCTGTGCCTACGCAAGTAGAGAGAGCAACAGAGAGTCATCCCATGTATAGCCAAGGCACCTCACAAGCTCACGACAGGCACACACATGACATAAACCCTGGGAATTAGACAACCCGGGGCTGGGCTGAGCCCTTCAAAGTCCCAGCAGAGGCTCTGCCCCGGGAGCGGATGCAGCAACGCAGCCCAAGGGGCAGGCACTGTGCACGGATCTCGGGAGAGCAAAGCGGTGTGTTGGGAGTCAGGGGGGGAATGGGTAGAGGCCCTTAATTTGCAGCACCTGCAACACCTGAGGGGGTGCAGCAAGGCCCCGAGGAAGTGAAGGGGCAGAGGCTGGAGAGGTAAGAGCCCAGCCTCCCCTCAGCTCTCTGCTCCTGGCAGCACCAGCCAACCAAACCCCCATCAAAATCACACCCCCTCTTTCCCTGTACACAAGATTTTCTCTAGCTCTGGTTGTACCCAGGAGAGGATGCCACAGTCCCAAATGTTTAAGAAGTGTTGTGATGGGGAGGAAGTATATATTACTGATATACTAACAACAAGTTCTTGTCTTTTTATATGAGGTGTTTCCTCCTTGCGCATAAACAAGATTTTGAGCACAGCAGCAGTAGGGTTTCTTTGGGAAGATGGAGAGTCTAGCTGTAACAGTATGTACACAGACTTTGAATATGATAGAAGCCAATCCTCAACAGAAAAGTTATAATTTATAAACCTGAAACATTTATAAAATATACTATATTTATGGGACTTATCCACAGCAGTGTTTCTGGTCAAAGCACCGTATACCCTTTAAGCATTGAAGCTGATTTTCCAAAACACATGTTTAGCTCAGTTCTGTTGTCTTAAGGATCACGCATAAAAGATGCACTGCACATTTCTCTGCCTTGCCATCACTATATTTCAAAACCTGCTTATATAAATTATTGTACTGTCTACTGCAGCATATCCTTAGGAGCCTGGTAGCAGCTTTTCTAGAGGAGAAAGGAGAGGCTTGAGCATTTAAGTGATCTGCTTATCTCAACAGAAGACCGCAGCACAGACCTCCCCTGCCATATCCCTCCCACCACCAGACCCAGAATGCTTTTCTATAATGGTTATAGAGAGGGAAAATTTAAGAACCAAGTCAAAAATCTTAAGCATGGTCTCCAGCACTGCATGTGTCATCAGTTGTGGGTACGACAAGTAACACACAGGGGGTGGCACCCAAGGCTGAAAGGCATCCCTGTTAGGTAGCAAGAGCCAAAATATCTGTTGCCTCTGCCCATTACCCACTCTTGGTGGTCATAATAATGTCAGCAGTTAACTGTAGAATAGTAATGACCTGGAAATATCTTCCATGAGCAATCCTGACTCACAATTTAAGTCCTTACGTTTGAACAGAGATTTAGTTGTCAAATACCCCAAGCAAAGCCTTGTTTTGTTTTGTTTTTAAAAGAGGGGAAGGGAAAGCCTTCTCCTCAGGGATGGCTCAGTTCAGCTGTAGTTCTTTTACCACTCTCAAAGTAGGGTTTTTGACGTTTTGAACTTTTCAGATACCCCCATGAAAGTCCCTCACTGAGAATTCACTATTTCTTAGTCCGCCCACAACAGCTTGCATTTAAGGACTGTGCTCCCCTCCTCACCAAAGCATTTGATACTATGCCAAAGAATAGCAGTTGGATTTGTCATAGACCAGCTTGACAGCAGATTGTTGATTTCTTCCTGTTTTAAAACAAGTGTTGGAGGGGTAGGGGGTGAAAACAACTCATAAGCCCCCCCCCTTTTTTCCAGTAGAATTTTCATTTTAAGATTTTAAATACCAAAAAATTGAGTTATTTAACTCAGCCTTGAAGGTTCCCTGAGTTTATTTATTTATTTCCTCCTTTATTTTTGCCCTGTTTGGAATAAAAGGAAGATTCTAAATTCTCTTTGCTGGAAATTTCTAATCTTCCTCCTTCCAATCAGCCCTATACCGGGCAGCAGACACCCTGTTCTACTCTACACAGATTTCTGTGGAGTGCATTTGTATAGTTCCACAAGCCCACACATTGCATTTTAAATTGCTACTACTTGCTTTCACACACACCTACACATACACTGATTCAGTTAAAATGTAAAACTAGTTTGATATATGTAAAGTTGTGATGTGTCTTAAGACTCAGAGAAAAAACATAATTCTTGAAACCATGAAATAGTATTAAGAATGAGGAAAAAAATCATACCTAACTGATCCATGTTATAACTGATAAGCAGTAGCTCCCTCACAGCACTCTGCCTCCAGCTGATTCACAACACAGGGCAAGGAAGCGCTGGTCCTGTGTGTTTTCCACCAAGGTTTCTTCCCTTGTGGAGCACACAGTGAGTGAAGGACTGGAGGGGTTGCCCTTACCCACAGTCAAGCACCACCACCTACTTCCCAAAGACTTCAGGGTCACGAGCACACCCCCTGGCCAACTTCAGGAAAATTTACTCTTCTTTTTCACTTTGAAGAGCAGGATTTCATCACCCACCCTCTCCAGAACAACCCTGCAGGAGCACGAGAGGAAATCTGAGAACCAGATTTCTCCAACCTCAACTATCACCCCAAAACCTTCCTTTGAAAGATTCCCCGTTCCACAAGAAGGGCAAGAAGAGGAGGAGGCTCCTTCCAACCACTCAGCTCCCTTTCTCTCCCCCTTTTCCCAAGGAGGCCTCTGGGCTGCTGCTCCCCCTCCCCATGGGTGCTATTTAACACTTTCTTCTCCAGTGGCACAGGAAAGCAATTCAACCATTAAGATAAGACGCTGACATTGTCTTGTCAGATGTCACGTTATGCATCTACATAGCACCAGCTGTGTTTGGCACTCAGCTTCACAAGTTTTGTTTCTGCTATAATTAAAGAATACTCATTAGGACACCAAAGGAATTAAACCTTCTCATTATATCATATTAAGACAGAGAAGAGTCTCATCCCAATGCTGTTTATGAACCACATTTCAATTTCTTCACTCAGGGTAAATAGCACCTTGCTGTTTTCCCACTCTGGTGAGGCCTCTGCATGAAGCACTGTGCCACTTGTTGCAATTATCCCAATCTCCTGCTCTTCCAATTTGCTATTGCTAAGTGCTTAGCTTACACTCTGCGCCTTGATTTTTTTTTTTTTTTGGTAAAGAAAATGTACTGTTAGTCACTCATGTCCCTGTTGGAAAAATCTGACCAATCTGACCACAGCCTTGCTTCCAGCCCCATCTCAGAAACAAGTTCTTGAACTCAAAAACATAAGATGAAGCAGAGCCACAAAATTTGATACACTTTCTCACAGTGCTCCTTTTAAGCCTGAAAGTTCCGCCTAAATCAAGTTTACACTCTGCCTTTTATTTTGTCTTGCTTAATTCTGATTACACTGCAAAATGATTGTACATGTTCCTTCATTTGTAGTCCTCAGCGTCCTAGGGTAATGCATATTTTTCATATCGTGTTCTATAATATCTCCTTCAAATATTTCACTGGTATTCAGACTCACTGTATTTCCACAAGCAATTCTTACAAAAACAGATAAGCCTCTCTGCCCAAGTTAGTACAATTTCCATTTCAATTAAAAAAAAATGTCAACCCATCAGCCCAACAAATGCAGTGTCTAATAAAACCCAAAACAAAGAATAGTTAATTTGATAATGTAAATAACTTTAAACATAACAATTTGTACTGTTTTTCAAGCCAAAAGATTTCACTGTAATTGCTTATTTCAAATGTGGAATTAAATTCAACAATTTCTATATTATAATGACTATCTGAAATGTAGGATACAAATGAAACACAGGACAAAATATCCCTAAGAAACCATGTAATTCATCATTCTTCTCTGAAAATAACTGAATGTTCTGGTTCTCCTGATTTAGTTGAAAGTTTATTGAATCAAGCACCGGCTACATTTGTCTCTAAGGTTATCAGTTTGTGGTACATGTTACACCACTTTATTTTAGAGCAAAAGCTCTGAATAGAGCAACATATTGCAATAAAACATCTGTCTCCTCACAATACTCTTCTTTCTTACGTCTCTCCTAATGGTGCTGAAAAACCTTCTCAAGAATGGATCCTACACATTATTTTATTTGTCAAATGTATATGCTGGTAAGAGGCTGACAGGTGCCGCTAGTGGAACAAACCAGCGTGCTTGTTCTGCTATTTGTTTAGATTTTGGAAGGATGTGCTCATTTTATTAAAACAACTTTCATGATATTAACAGAGACAAAATATTCTGTCCATGCATATATTCCCTTTTTTTCACATGGATGTTAGAGCATTCACAAACCCTGCTGGAGCTGTAATTTCTGCCAGTTGGTCTCTCAGCTGGAGTGTGTTTGACTCCATCACCGAGTGCCCTGCCAACCCTCCCCACCCTCCCCTTTGACTAACTGGAGAATAGCAAGACAACCATACTGCTTAATCATTGCTTAAAAATATTTTTCTTGTTCCTGATGTAAACAATTTCATGTCTTCACCTATGAATTGCATTCCCATTCCAGCACCTGGATCCCTGCTGGATCCAGAAGGGACTTGGGCAGACTAAACTCATGGACTATAACCCTCCTTCACAGATTGCTGCACTGGGTGGAGAATGGGACCCTCTGCCCATACAGGTACCTGCTTCCTTCCTCAGCCCTCTGGACATCAGCTGTACATCAACATCTAAATTCTCTTAGAAGCACCCCTGACAGCTGTACTCTGAGCTTGCTTATGACACAAAATACATTCTAGCAGAAAATATTTTTCTAATCATTTTCCTTAGGCAAATATTTCCTGAGTACCTTCCCACCAGTTATATTCTCTCTGTTTTATCAATCAGAAGTTTTTTTGATTTTGATTTTTTTCCTTTGCTCATGAAATCTAAAAATGGGCTGTTAGCACTTTATGGGATATGTTAATTAAAAAGAATTATACATATCATTCGTGTCCTCATGGGGTATAGCCATTATTAAATCAATTTTGTTGTTGTTGAGTTAGACTTCTGTAAAGGTAGGATATTGGATTTCTAAATTAATTATACAGGCAAGAAGTCTAGTCCCAAGTTTAATGGAAACTTTGGACTGCATATGCTTAGGTGGTTTAATTTCCTTAATTCTATCCAAATACCTGAACAACTTAATCTAACAGCACTGTAATTTTCAGGCATTGGAAAACAGGCATCTATTTTACTTACCACTGCACATTTTGGCACTAGGTTTGCAGGAAGCACGTTGTGTTACCTCCCTGGTGAGTGAATCACCAACACTTGTCATCTACCTACCTCCTTAAAGCCAGCCTCCTTCTCGACTTTCATGTATGAAATGCAACAGATAGAAGTTTAGCTAAATCCTTTCTTATCTTTTCAAAGCTGCAGGTACCTTGGAAGTTGTGACTCTCCTTAACCACATCTCACGAGCTCCCCTTCCTCTGAAGCACTCTTGAAATTGTTCAAAAGAAAAAGAGAAGGGATCTTAGTGGTACTGAAAAGATGTACCAGTAGCCAATACCAGTGAGGTTCTTCCTTCCTCAGAGGCAACTGACTTGACAGAAGGAGTTACCTGAAGTAAACATAAAACGCTACAACCACTGCACCTTGTCTATGTGTTTTTAGGCTGTGCAAAAGAAACTGGTATTCAGTTTCTTTGGGCCAGTCTTCTTCTTGCTTCAGTTTCTCCAGTAACATCTAAGAACCTGCAAGGAGGGATACTAGGTTACACCTTGTATTCTCTGTGTTTTATTAAAGGACCCAGCACTCAACACTCCAGTTTCCACAGAGGATCTTTGGCTTCAGATCAAATACAAGCTCTTCTGTCTTTAAAAGCACAATTTCACAACTAAGTGAACCTAACTGACTCCATATTCAAAATAAGTGCTGGAGATGAGAGAACAGAGGCAGCCATTTTCATTTTCAGATATGGGTAGATGGTAGATCTACATATGCCAAAAACATAGGAACAATGAGCAGTTGGATATAGCAAACCATAGCAGACGAGGTCATAAATAATTCTGTCCTCACTGCAAAAAGATTAAAAAAATGAATTTAAAAATAATCAGCCTTTCTTTGTACTCAACAATCTGGAAAAAATATTATAATTAGCATGTAGTTACTCCTGATTTTGTAATTTAATTGAAATTTCAATATGACCTACAGGTTTCATAGATTTTGCAAGTCTTAATAGCAGAAAAAGGAGAGAGGAAGTCAAGAAGGTAGAGATAAGCTCTAGCAAGCAGTAAATGGATATGCTGATTCCCTAGCTTTCCATAAATTAATAGGTCTAGTCTAAGTGTTATATTTTAAGGACAGCTGAATCAAACAGTAATTTTTCAGACCTAAAATATAATCAAACTGCTCAACAATGGATAAGCTATGAAAAATCTATGATTTTCATGACAATTCTGTGTAATGTGTACTAATTATTGATCAATACTATAGATCACATGGACTAATTAATGAGTGATTGCGATTAGTTATGTATGTAGAATCTGATAGATAACAATACTCAGTTGCACTGTAAGTGGAGGAAATTTTGAACAGGTTAGCAAGAGAAAAGATAACCCTTGCACCAAATTCTTTAGTCTAACTAGAACCAGAGGCTGCATCTGCAAATACTTTTGTAATATCTGAATTTAACCCATACATAAAAATTTCAGTAAAACCAATTAATTAGGGTCTGATGCTCACCCTTGTATACATATTTATATAAAAATATTTGTATTTGTAGGACAGTGTGAGAAATATTAAGAACACTAGAAGCATACCACATTTCCACAGAGATAACCCACATTTCAGATAACACACTTTTTAAACATAGCAGTCCTGGCAAAAGCATTCTTACAGAAGCCATGTCCTCATGCCACCTTCATATTCAGGTAAATTGATCAAAATTTGAGGTGTGATGCTGGAGTAGAAAGAGTAGGGAATGAGGTCCTGAAACAGAGAGCTAAGAGGAAAGAAGGAGACATGGTGTGGGCTCCACAGGTCTGGGATAACATATTTCCTGAGCACATGCATTATGCTATTGCTGAGACACTAGCCTTGATTGTTTTCTTTTGCAGGTAACTAAAGGCTATATATGTGAAACGTAGTAAATATGAGCACGTAGTGGCTGTCTCACAGAAAAACAGCCAGCACACACTGAGAAGAATTAGCCTTTTCACGTAGCCCCCGCACGCCGAGTCCATGTGGTATGCTCAACCTGAGCACACAGCTTGTGGTTTCTTGGTGTATATTTGGCTCAAACTGGGAAAAGGGTCTCATTGAATTCAACTGGATTGAGTCAACTGGACCTCATTTACTGTGTTTGGTTAGGAAAAGCATCAGTATTGTCAGGTGAGCCTCTATTAAGCAATGTGTATAATTTATAAAATCACAATCTAGAAGTCCCAGCCAACAGAAGACTTTAAAATGTTGCTCCTCTATAGAAAACAAGATTTGCATACCTTGTTTGAATTCTTCTCTTACTGTTTTTGTTGTTTTGCATGGTCTTATTGTAGTTCATATAGTAGCCTTCATACATATATACCGTAATTATCCTAGACATATGGACTCCATATGTACTATAAATACCACAATGGAAAGCCATACTTTGTGGCGACACTGGGACCCAAACAAGATACCATTGCACATTAGAATTGTATTAAACTAATTGAAAAATAGTTAAACATTGCTAATAAAACAAGATAAATACTAAACATTAAAAGACAGAGACATTTCAGTGTTCCATAAAACCACACCTTTCAGACAAATTAATTATTTGCATCATAAAAAAATGCTAACTGTGAAAGAAAATATTCCAGAAGAAAGCAATGAGTAAAAAGCTTCAGGTGATTTTTGATTACATTAAAACAAATTCCCATTCTTCATAAAATATGCAGAACTTTGCATCTTAAATAGTATAGTTACCTTAAAAAAATTACTTTCTTTTTAATCTTGCAAGAAATGAAAACTTAATTGAGTAGGAAAGTATTTGGAATATATCCAGAAAGAAAAAAGCTACAGCTATTCTCATGTAAGTGGCACAGCATCTGTCAAGAGTTTTCACATACCTTCAGGAAGTTATCTCAAATTAATTCAACACTGTACTTGATTTCAGTGATCACAGTTAATATCCTGCAAACCCAAACTGCCTGCCTTGTTTATTTCATAGTTTCAATTTATACTGCTGTAATTCACCTTGGCAAATAAATGGATGTATGAGGGACTCGCCCTCTGAATAAATAATAAAATTTAACTTGTCAGGAGCTTCCTTTGCCTTGAATGAAAAACATTTCATTTCTTTGTGATGCTGTTGAAGCTAAACCTCATTGCAAGAGACTTAATGAGCAGCCCTGGAATAAAAGCTAATGGCGTGTTCCAGCTATGTGGCCACCTTGATGAACATCAGAATTACATCTGAGACCAGATGGAAGAAAAGGAAGATGCACGATACAAAATATGTCTTCATTTGAGGAGTAAAGTATTACTCAGTGGCATTATACATTGTTAATAAATTTTCTTTATCTGAAACTATAATTTAATATTTATGTATCTAATTTACATGTGACAAAGTAGCATATTCTAAAATTAGAGTGTAACCAGCAAACTGTTAACTACTATAAACAATACCAAAACACAACTCAAACATATTTTAAGGAAACAATAGATACATTTTGGACTGGGGAAAGATTTCAATTGCAGGATATTGTTTTAAATACAGCTGTTAATTATGTCTTGAAAAAAATTCTTCAAGCCCAGAAAGACTTTCTGCTTAGGGAGTCCTGGGTATATACATAAAGACCAAGAGTACACTACCAAAAATTCCCTTACTGGTTACTAGTAGGTACAGTAATAATAGTAAATGTTGAAATTGGGGAAAAAAAAATCATTTTTCATTATCAATGTTGTATGATGCACTAGACAATATATCCCCTTTGAGCAGAAACTAGAGAAAATATCGTGCCCTTTATTATCTCTGTGGTTTCTTATGTGTAATAGACAGCGAAAGAATTGCACTTATTGTAACATTACAGTAGTGTTAGATTGCAGCTCACCTTTTAAAATATTAGTGGCCATAATACTTATGATAGGTTGTGCATTATGCAAAGATGAATAAAGATGTGCATTTAAATTAAAAAACGAGCAACCACTTACAGAACCAACAGTGAGGCTTAACATAACAAACATGCACTAACCCTACACTTATGCAAAACTAAGTTCTTCCAGGAAACTGTAACCAACTGTTCACCTTCCACAAAGGTAAAGGTTTTGTCCCTTGGTAATACGTTTGGACTTTGTAGTCGAATTCCAGTTTATTAGCTCATTGTGTCTAAATGTGCTGTTCCACTGTGATATCCTTTAGCTGCCCTTGAGCTTCTGCAGAATCTGCAATCTTACAGTCACTTTTATTTAAGGTTTTATTGAGCCACAAAGTAAGTCCCCTTCAGTACTACACAAATAGGCTTCCTTATTCATCCTCTTCAGGTTCCTGTGGTAAAATTGGTGTCTCCTCCTTTAAACAAGCACTAAAAAACCCAAGGATTGTGCTGTAAAGGTGATATTTGCTTTTCTCAGAAGCAATGTTATGACCTTCATCTGGGTAGATCTAGCAGAGGAGAAAGAAAAAAAGTAAATAGTTTTTTAAAGGCTTTTCAAATATTTAGGGCTCTAATTTTCTTTCTCTGATCTTCAAAATGTTTTAGATGACAACAGGATGATAACATTAGTTTTATGGCACCAGAGAAACCTAATAAAACTCAAAGTAAAACTCATTCTCTTGGAATTTGAACTTACATAAAACAACCACTGCATTGGGATCTGCAGAAGTGAAAAAAATTATATTCTCAGTCATTCTGCTTACAACAGTTTACTTAGCTGGCATTTTCAATAGTGTCTAGGCATCCAAATCCCATTAACGTCAAAGAGGATTAATTAGTTCATGCTTTTAGGGATCTCTCAATATCCCAGCTTCTAAGTGTTCAGTGAAAAATCCTTTTATTCATATTTTTAACTATTTTCCTATCTTATCTAAAGCCCATCAACTCTCTCCTAAGATGGATGTGGGCATTTTACTCTCTTAATTCAAATTCTACTGGAAATTTCTCCCAAGTGAGGCTGAACAAAAACTTGCAGGCTGAATGAAGAAATCCAGGTCACAGGATTTAGTGCAAGAGACTTGTAGTGGCCTGAGGCAAAAAGCTTCAGCTGCTTCCTCAAACTCAGGTTATCACAGGGTTGCATGAGAATGGTTCAACAGGGTTCTTCTGAAAGACCTCAGTCCTTCTTCCTTTCATCACCTTCACATCACCTCAGCTGAAATCACAGGGACAGCTGGAACAGATCCTACCTGACTCAGATTTCACACATAAAGTCCTTTTCCCTTCATAAATGATGCTAACCCCCTTGCTATCACCTTTTACCTGATGTGACCTCACACACTTCAACAGAAACTACAGGTTCACCTAAGGATCAGTAAGGTCAAGTTTTGCAACGTCTAAAATCATAGATATTTGGAGGAGTGACCCAAAACCACATCATCTAAGATTTTAAGAAAGGTTTAATGCAGTCAGAACTTTCAGCCAGCAACATCCACATACTCGGTGGTGTGTCCCGTGCAAGTCTGTATGTCAGCATCACACCCTGTCCTGCTCTCCCCAGCCTGTCCCTCACAGCACCCTCATCTGCTGTATGGCTGTGGAGAGAGGGAACAGTGCTCTCACCTTTTAGCTGCCTTTTAATAAATTTAAATGTTGAAAATAATGGGAAATTAGTTTCATGTGACCCAATACTTTTTTAGATAAAAAGGGATTAAAGTAACGATATCTCTGTATTACAAAGAATGCATATGGACTCTAAAGCATTTTATATTGTGTCTCAGGACAAAGAGGTGGAAAAACAGAAAGATGAGAGAGAGCAGAAAGAGCCCAGGAGAATGGCAAGAAGATATGGTTCTTGAAGTCCATACTAACAGTAAGGAAAATGGGATTAGACAGAGTTCTAATTGAAAATTGGGGTTAATATTGGTGTGCTGTGGTAGGGAGGGTCCTTCTTAGGGAAGAAATAGAAATATGAGGTTAAATGTTAAACTATGTTTATAGGATACGTCACAGCTGTACATACCTGCATAGTGTAATTAATTCCGGCTTTTATTAGATGTTTAATTAGTTCTGCTGAATGCTGGAAGTGGACTTTAGCTGCAAGACAACAACAATTGGATAGTATTAGAAAAAGCTATGGTAATACGAAATATTTGTCTGTTAAACAGCTTTGGCTGAAAACATTTCCAGTCTCTTTAATTACCGGATCTGAAGTTGACTATCTTTCTGGTCAGAAGCGCACCGCCCCACCAGTAACAGCGAGGCAGGGTGTAACAGCGGAGGTTTTGGAGAAGGAGCTGGAATCCCCCAGAGAAGCCATGCTTTCCAGGAACTCTGTGAGGACTCCTCTCTCTACCCTTGATTCATACACACTACAATAGAGGTGTGTAAAACCATTCTGTTTGATCATCATGACAGTTTATAATCGTGTTAAAGGAAAGCACGTTGGATTTTCTGCTGCTTGCACGGGATTATTACAGACTACACTTCTTTAGCTAACGGACTTTCTGCAACGTATCAGTAACTTAATCTTTGTGTGGTAGAAACAGGCTACTTTATTACCATGTCCTAATCCTGCAGAGTTTAGGCTGCAAGTGGGCTGGGCAGTGTCACTAGATGTGATATTAAGCAAGGGCAGCAGGCAATCAGAATCTTAGTCTTGAACACACTGTATTGCTCAGACATCTATCAGAGTCCCAATTCCCTCTAGCACCAAGTTCAGAGGGGTAGAAATTGCTGCTGCCTTTTACAATCAATGAAGTCTGAGACCCTCATGCCTGCTCAGTCACCCAGCATATCATAGAATCATATAGAAAGGTTTGGGTTGAAAGGGACCTTAGAGCCCATCCAGTTCCACATTCCCAGCCGTGGGCAGGGCCCCCTTCCCCCAGCCCAGGGTGCTCCCAGCCCCGTCCAACCTGGCCTTGAACCCTTCCAGGGAGGGGGCACCCACAGCTGATCTGGGCACCCTGGGCCAGCGCCTCACCCCCCGCACAGGGAAGAACTTCTTCTCTCTATCTGATATAAGTCTACTCTCTTTCAGTTTAAAACCATCACCATTTGTCCTATCCCTACACTCCCTGATAAACAGCCCCTCCCCATCTTTCCTGTAGGTCCCCTTTAAGCACTGGGAGGCCACTATAAGGTCTCCCCAGAGCCTTCTCTTCTCCAGGCTGAACAACCCCAACTCTCTCAGCCTGGACTCACAGGGGAGCTGCTCCAGCCCCCTCATCATCTTCATGGCCTCCTCTGGACTTGCTTGAACAGGTCCATGTCCCTCTTATTTCGGGGGCCCCAGAGCTGGCCCCAGCACTGCAGGGGGGTCTCACGAGAGCAGAGCAGAGGGGGAGAATCCCCTCCCTCGACTTGCTGCCCCCCCTGCTCTGGATGCAGCCCAGCACACGGGTGGTTTCTGGGCTGCGAGCGCACATTGCTGGCTCACAGTCAGTTTTCCACCCACTAACACTCTCAAGTCCTTCTCCTTGGGGCTGCTCTCCATCCACTCCTCACCCAGCCTGGATCTGTGCTTGGGATTTCCCCGATGCATGTGTGGGACCTCGTACTTGGCCATGCTGAACTTCATGATGTTTCCATGGGCAAAATATCTTCTCTGTCCCTCTCCCGCCTGCTGTGGGAGGAAACACTGGACAATGTTTGCACCCCTCTGATTGCACTTGGGATCCACAACATGGGATTGACAAATTACACCAGGCTGATGGGCTGGCAGGTGCCATGGTCACTGTGCCAGCTGTGTGTGTGGGCACTCTCACATCAGCCCTTGTCAGTGCAAGGCACTTATCCCTCCAGACAGAGGAGTAAGAAACCTTGTATTATCCCCACATTCACCAGGAAAATGCCAGGGAAAGAAGTATGCATGAGAATTTGTAGAGGAGCTTGTTGTAGCACTGTAATTTGTGCTTGAATCAAAGCTCATTCTTTAGACCTACATCAGTTAGGAAGGATCAGAATAATACACTGCAGTTAAATTTAAATCTGCAATTACAAATTATCTTGTGATTGACACATCGTATGATTCCATTTAAAGTGATATAACTTACTCTGTTTTACTCATTCTCTGTCTTTACTGCTAAAAGTATTGGTGTTATTAAAAGGTTTCCTATAGCTTCAGCTTCAGATACTTTGGCACTACCTTGTAATCAATTAGCTGAAAAGTTTAACTTCCCAATTTGGTGCTCTACTTCACCAACTGTACTGATAATTCTTTCTTCAGTTGAAGAATCTCTATGAATTTAAAATACCATTAAAAATGTATGTTGTTCTATTAATAATTCATATAATACCTTTCACTAGCAAGACAGTGGTCTACAAGATTTAAACAAATTAGAACATACAGGACCTAAAAGGTACAAATATTCAGCAAAGAAAAGTGTCATCGGTTTAGAGTTAGAAGTGACAATTGGAATAAAATAGTCATTTTGGAGGGATAATGAAACTAAAAATGTACTTGTGAGGCATGTTCCTCATCAGTCATTGAATGCCTGCTTAATAGAACCTCTTACTCAAAATGTAATTTCATCTGTAAATACTTACCATCAGCTGTCCCATGAACTATTAGCAAATTTGCTTCTTTTAAACCATGAAGATTGTGTAATACACTGGATGCCTAGTAAACAAACATACACAAAGGTATAACTGAATTGCACTGTCAGAGTAAAATGGTTATGTTAAGTTACTTGTTTATGCTAACTTACTTGGTAGGTATTTTCCTCTTTTGATGGAGTACCAAGGTATCTTTCTGAAAAAGCTGATGCTGTGAAAGTAAAAACAAAAACTTGTGAATTCATCAAAATCACTTCTATTTTTAAACCCATCAGTTGTGATCTTGAGTCAGAAGAAGCTATTTAAGCCATGAAGTCAACAAAGAGATGTTAATTAAAACCAGAATGTGCCATTTAAAGCCATTTTTAAAAGGTTAAAAACCAAAACCAAAACAACCAACAACAACAAAACCCAACCCAACCAACCAAATGGAAGAAAAACCAAAAACCAAAGAAAAGACTAACTGACCATTAAAGTAATCTGGTCTGATTTCCTGTGTATCACAGTCCACAGTACATAGCCTGTGCCCAAAACTTCACATACAGAACCAAGTATCAATTGATTGAATTATGGCATGGTTGGTATCGTAAGGAATTAACCACTAACCTTAAAGGATTCATTCCTATTATAAGTCTTGATTCAGGCTGATACACATAAAGGAGTTTTTGGAAATGGGGTACCTGACTGAAATTCAGTGGGAAATGGGAAAGACAACTCCTTTGCAGAAATCAGTGGTGTTATAATATTGTATCTGCTGTGTGCTTTGGTAAACTGTCCCAGTGTTAACTGGCCTTTCATTTAAAGGAGAGAATGAGACAGTGAGGTGAAATCTAGTTGATAATGTTATATTATCTGCCCTTAGTTAAAATGAACCGTAGCTCCATGAAGAAAAGATATTTTGAACAGACTATCACACAGGTGTAGGGCAAGGAGTACTCACCATATAACTTCATATCTGTAATTGGTGCCACCACAGCTCCACACTTGAAGAGTCGTTCACTGGATTTCAGGATCATTGATGTAATGTAGCCACCATATCCCTAATAATGGAAATTACATTAAGATTTTCACTGGTTCATTTATTTTTAGCAACAGTAAAATGAACAGCCATTCTGCTAGACCAATGGTATCATTTTACAGTATGTATTTATACCTGCAACAATTGCTTTTAAAAGAAATGTAAATCTACAGTTAAGAGTGAATAAAGATCTCATTTGACCTGTTCATGATCTTTAAACAATGCAGTTAACAATAATGAGTATTTTTCAGTTTAAGCTCCATGATTCCATCATGACTGACTAGCCTATAATCAGTAAAAGAGTCGAAAATTACAGAAAAACCAAAACCGAAACCAAAGGTAAGGCTTTGGGAATACAACCTAGACAGGAATATTTGTACTCAGTTTTTAATATATTTAATGTAGATATTTGCTAATTACCAAGATACACTGAGCATTTTGCTGACCAGAGAGAGAGTACGGGAATGGGGGAAACCTGCAAATTGATTGCAGGATGTCCTTCCCTTGACACTTGACCCTTCACAGATTGAATCCTGTTGCTGTTAAAGAGGTCTCTGCTACAGCATTCTCAAATACCCCACAGAAAGGTACAGATCCTGCACTGTTTTGCAGAAATAAAAGCTGTACATAGACCCATTGCTCAATATTATGCTAATCTCTGGATGCACGTTGTGGCCACAAAAGCATCTATCAGGCTGCTTTGTTACAAACCAGGGAGCACAGACAGCATGAAGAAGCTGGGAAAGATGAGGTAGAACAGGGGGGAGCTCTCTCCTTGCCTCACCACATTTTTCTGTCCTTATGGCACACTTCATCATCATCTCCCCTGCAAAGTCTACAATCCACCTCTCTGGGAGGAGTTGTGACACAAAAGAGAGCCATAAAAGCTTTGCTTTGCATGAGAACATGAAAGCATTAAATTGAGACCACGGATTTCCTTGGAATGACACTGGCAATCCACAAATGCATACCTATAAACATTCCAGACCCACATACAATGAAATTCTGAATTGTGGAGTCTAGGATCAATGATTTTCTCATGTATTATGAGCTCTTCAAATTTCTCTATTTGCCTTTTTTGTTTTTCTTTCATCAGTGCTGGAAAATCAATTTTATGCAGGTATTTTGTTGTTGTTGTAGTTTTGTGTTTGGCACAACACACTTCAGAAAGAAGAAATTATCCCCTGACAGGGAAAAGAAAAATGTAAAACACTAGTGAACCCCAAAAAAGAATATTGTTCATCAAATGCTCATAGAGTTTTCTCATGAACTTCTACGAATCCTGCCTGATACTGTTCTTGATGTCTAAATATTTAATGAATAGATTACATCAGTGCACGAACAGGAATATTGAAAAACCTTTAACCTCAGTTAAGAAAAATTAGCAAAGAAAGAGGAGTGTCTTTGGAATCAACCTACAGTAAATATGAACAGACATACTAAAAGAAAAGAGAGAGAATAAAAGCTGGATTTTCAAGGGAGTGTGGGGAACTGAGTTCTTCCTTTCCCATAGAAATGCCAGCACAGGAGGCTAAGAGCCACCCAGAATTGCTCGTGTACAGGAATAGATTTCACCTAAGAAAGAATTTCTGAGTGGGCACTGGTAACTTGTATAATTCAAAGAGTTTAAGAGAGTAGCAACTTTCCTTTGCCTCTGGGTTCTCTACTTCTGCTTTTGTTTAATATTCTGTTTGTGTCTTTCTCAGTAGGTCCACAGCACGATTTTAATCCTAGGATAGCTATTGCCAGGTTATTTATCATTTAAGCCATGTATTCATTAAGAGCTTAGTTTAGTTCTCCCGGGAATTTCTTTCCCTTTTACTTGTGCCCTTGCTTCCAGCCAGGCTTTCGAGGACAAAAACATTTCACAGTGAGATCACATTTTTAGAAGCACTTCACAATGGCAATGCAGAAAATAGTTCATACATCCTGATGCAAGGATATATGGTGCCATGCTCATCTGCTGGATTTCTGTGTTTACAACCTAATTGCCATATATTTCAAAAAGCTGGTTGACTGTGAGGTTGAAACTTACTTGCAAGCTCTCTTTCTACTTCCATGAATAAAAATGCAAACTACATGGAAACACAATTTGTTGTCTAGCAGTTCAGAAAGGCCTTTGGATCATGCCATCACTTTGGGCTTCTACCCCTCAGAGATAAGCAAGGTGGCACTGGCAGATTGTCCAGCAGTCAGAAGTAGGTGTTTTCCACACTGTGCCCTTCTGGACAGTCTTGTTACTCTTGTGCCTAGTTTACATTACTGATTGCGATTAGAATTTTATTTCTGTGTAGTTCTAAAACCTCTTAAATAGCTCACTGACAGTGTGCCTAAGTCCAGCTTTATGAGATCAGCATCAACCAGTTCCAAAGTCATCCTATTTTCAAGCAAAGTACATATTCTATTTCCATCAGCAAGCTCAATTTAAAACATAGAAAGAAAAAAAAAAAAAAAAAAGGTTTTTCCTATCACAGTTGTACATAGCAAAAACGAAATGAGTTTTAAAGATTTTTGATTGACTAAAATAAGCAGAGTGGAGGAAAATACAATTAACCCTAGGAAGATGTTAAATAGATTTTTTTTTTCTAATTCTAAAACCGACTTAAATTTTATGAATTTTTGTTTGACAGTAGAAAACAACTCTGAGAGGTTAATTTGGAAGGAGTACATGTCCCTGAATTCAAAGCAGCACTGAAGCTTATCGAATTTCCCAGATTTTACTCTTCGCTTTCTCACATTTCCATTTTTAATTCCTCAATCATTATTTCAGAAAATAAAGCAGGAACATCATAATCAATAATATTTTGTGAGAGAAAAAAAATTTGGGGCATACCCTTCATCAGATATGTAAAACCATGTTTCCATGTACATTCTGTGGTAACTGTCTCACCATGTCACTGTTAGGAAACATGATACTGCTGAATCTCCTACAGAAAACAAGTGGAAATTTTCAAGTGGCAATGAGAAGAATTTCTGAAGTCAGAAACAAGTGAGCAATTCAGGGAGCTTAGTGATTTCATTTCAGAAATAACATTTTCATTCATTTGTGGGAAGAGGATATTGAGAAATATGGATGCTTCTATGCATGTGTACTTTCATATACATTGGTAACAGGAACTAAAACCTGGATAGAAATGTGTGCCATGATCATCTGATGGATGGAATCAGCCCTGCTTATGCATCATCTGCTGAAAAATCTCTGGTTGCTGCCCTACAAACCAAATACAGTTTCTTTAGCTCAAGGAGTGTGGCAGGAGCTCATATCTTTGAGGAAGGTCACATTCATGTGGAACACTAATAACAGTCACAAATGCTAACTAGTCCTCAAAATGCTACTTTGCAGGAGGTAAATATCAATATCCTCATCTCACATTCAGACAGACTGAGACAGGCAGGTTAAGTGCCTTGCCCGAGGCCTTGCAGCAAGTCAGTAGCAGAGATGGGAACTAAGGGGTTTCATAGTGGAATGTATGCTACTCTTATAACTGATGACTGGGGGAGTTTGTCTAGAAACTTGATCATGATTTGTTGCTTTGAGGTCAAAAGCACAGAACATCTTCATCTCTAAGAAACACTTAAAAAAAAAAAAAGATTGCACATGATAGTTCATAGAAGAAGCAGCAATTATGTGGTGTTAATAGACATCAGTAAATGCTATTTAGTTTGTTACTAAAGGTTAAACCTTTGCCTTGTTCTATTTTATGCCAGGGGGAATGACATGCCACACAGTGAAACCAGCTGACAAAACAGCAAAGTTGAGATTTCTAGATGGCACAAAAAGGAAGTTGTTGACAGTACCACAGGGTTGTTACTCAGCTAACTTCAAGGGTCAGTAAAATATTCAGATATAAAAGTTGTATTAGAAGGATGTTGTCAATTTAGATGCAGCCCAAATATAAAAGTGTAAGAAATAACTTTTCACAAAACTTAAGCGCATATTAAAATTTTCTAAAGAAAGGAGATATTTTTTAATAAATACTTTCTCCTACAGATTCTGAAACACAAGTACTGCAGTGCCATAAAACTGATCTGACTGATCTCAAACACTCATTCTGAGAAAAAAAAAATGTACAGAACACACAGTAATTTATAAAAGGTTTCCTTCCTCTTTTAATAACTGACCATCTTAGGAAAATAGATAAATATATTTGTTTCTGAACTGGCAGTATTTTTGTAAAGAATCACAATGATACATCCAGCTTTCTTTGCACATTACCTTTCCAAATATACTCAGTCTCTTAGGATCAATGAAGGGCTGTTTCAATAGTGATCTGAAATAAAAAAAGGTTTTCTTACTTTTTTAAAATGGTAAATTTTACTTGTTGAATCTAATATGTAAAGAAAATTATTTGTACAGTAAAGGAAATGTCATACATGCAGATCAGGCAGAAGAACAAATTACCCCAATAAAATTATTATTGCACTGGGAAATGTGATTTGCTTTCTAATTCCTTCTCTATATGGCAAACAGTTGGTGTTGGGCTCATCTCACCTAATTTTAGTTATCTGAATTTGAGCATCTGGTCTAAATTGCCCATTTACGTCCACTATTCAGTTAAAGGAGATAAGAGAGGAAAACCTCTCTGTTTGGGGAGAATCACTCTCCAGAAATGCCATGATTTTCCACCAACTAGAGCTTAAATGACTGGCTTTGACCCGGTGCCTAATTTTTTGACAGCTAAAGGAAGGTAAGATGAATGCAACTTCTAGAATGTAAATAATTATCCAAATAATTAATTCTCTCATCAAGGCCAATTAATCAGCAATGGTGAATTATATATAGAAAAGACAGAATAACCTGAGGGCAAAATCCAACTGCTTTTGAGGAGACAAAACCAGCCCCAGTACCTCCTTTCAGCCAAGGGCACTCTCCTTTTTCCCCCATGCAGTGCATCCAGAGGCCAGATGTAATTTAGCCTAAAACATCTTAGTATCTGAGCAGAGAGCTCAGCTTCCACAGCACAGCGTATGACCTGCTTCCGATGGCCTTTTTGCAAGGGTCACCTTGAATTGCCCTGCTCAACGCAGCCCATTCCTGACCAGCGTAAACACTAGGAGCCCTACTGCCCAGGTATCTTATGTCAGAGACAGTTGCCTACTCATGCAATGGTTGAAGCATCAACACCTTCCAAAGGAAAAAAAAAAAAAAAAAAAAAAAAAAAAGCTTAAAATACATTTTTCTTTGAGAATCCCCATTAAAAGTCCATCCAAATCTTGATACTAGCCATTTTGACACGTGCACCCTGAGTAACTGTCTAAGCCATGTGTGATTACTCCACAGATGGAAACGACTCTTCTCTGCAGCTGGTGGATTTATATCAGTCTAAGAATAATAATGCAAATGAGAAATAACAGGCGTTTGCCCAAACTTTGCTCTCATTTACACCATCATAACTCCATTTTCTTTGTACAATTACTCCAGAACTCTGTGGTGGAAATGAGTACCCTATCATATAGGCCTAAAATATTGTAACATAAGTGCAGTTAAACATTAACATGTGCACTGCAAGGAATTTTCCTATGGAATATAGACAAATACGTGTTAGCTCAGATGGTATATTTAGATTGCACACGAAGGGCAGCTTTATCAAAGACAAGCACCAACACAAAAAGTAAACACCTCCTTGATCTTTTATTTGCTGTTTGTAATGAAAAGATTATTGTTTCACAATTTGCAACTGCATCAAAAATAAACATTAATGGTATTCACTATGCAAATAAAACATTCTGGGCACTTTCAGTTAAAAATGCTCTTTCATCAAGGTGGAAGCAGGGCAAAAAAGAAGAAAAGTTTGCACATACGTACTCTACAGCTGCTATTTGGTCCTTCACTTCCACAGATCCTAAGCATCGGTGGACCTCCTGTAGAATCTTAAGGCCTTGAAATCCACTCCCTCTGCCATCAAATCGAGCTACGATGACATTATCAGAGTTGACAAGCACTGAGTCCCAGTCAATGTGAAACTTATCTGTAACCAACTGGCTGCCTGGAGCTTCATCACTGCAAATACCAACACACCAGACACAAACGAAGACTATTGACAATGTGATGCACTTTGCCATTCTCTGATATTTTATTTAACCTAGATGGCAGAGTTCAGTCGGTTATGCAATCCCGTTGAATTATTGTCACTTCCATCAATATCATCACATTAGCTAGTGCTGGTATCCCTGCAGTAGTAGTAAGCAAAATAATTTATTTAACTTTATAACCACTATGTTGCAGTGTTGCCAATACCTGAATATACTTTATAGAAAAAAAAAAAAAAAACAAAACAACAACAGAGAACTAAAGCATGTAGCGCTGTTTACAGATTAATAAAGTGAAAAAACCTCAAACCATAATCATTAACAGCTAGTTCAGTTCTGAGAAGGCTCATGTAGAATTTAAGTCACACTAAAAATACAAAAAGGAAAATTCATTCAGTACCCTGATTATGATTTTGTAGGATATATAATACTATTAAGAAGGATGTCATCTTAGAAAACAAAAATAATTGCATTATTGTATCCTTGAATGGATTTTTTGAAATAGGGTACAAAGAAGACTAAAGTACACTCTAGAGAAAATTATATTTTCTCCATCCAAATTCACAACAAGAAATGGATGCAGGCAGGAGTGATAAGTTTATTTTATGACTAAAAGAAAAGGTGGTTTACAGCAGAAAAGGTGGAATAGAATGGGAGAATGCAGTTTCTAGAGGAACAATAAGATTTTCCTTTGAAGCCAAATATGCCATTTTCCTTCCGAAGAAAATAAAACGTCAGTTTTAAAAGGGAAGCTTGTCATTATTTTTCCCCCAAGATAAACACAGAATAAGAGAACAGGCTACCATGAAGTTGTATAAAATGTAAAATACTTCTATGTAGGCTGCATCTGCCAGTTGAATGAAAATTAAAATGTATAAGCGTCAGTGCTGGCTGTATGGAAATTAGATTGGACAGTGTCTTTGGGAATATCTTGTGTAAGGTGAAAGAAAGATGAAGTCAGAAATTATTATTTTGCCAGAGAGACTTATATAAACCTCAGGGGAGGAAAGAGATAAAAATCTCCTACAGTAACTACTGTTTTATATGTACAATAATGTGCTGATTCAATATCTGGTTATGGCTGTGGATAACAGATAGACCACCTTCAAGGTAATCACTCTATTAATTAGTAAGCATATGATGAATGCATATGTTCTCAGATTCAGTCAGATCTAGCTGTGGAGTTGCTGTATCATGCACTGATATCAGGATTACTTGGTTATAGACTCAGTCACAACATGTTATGCTTGATTCACCATGATATCATGCATCAAGATTATACTTGGCTTTATAAAAACCAAATAAGGGCATTTTTTTGTTTGCTTAACCAATTCAGTTGTGATTACACTAACTGCTAACAATGCAGAGTAATGACTTTGGAAATACTGATTGTTAAGTGAGTTCTGCAGAAAACACACAATTCAGAAGTATACTATCATTGTTATTTACAATAAGATCAGGAGCAGACAAATTCTTTCAATTTCTGCTTATTGTACATACCAAGATTTTCAGAAGCACTATACCTTGACATAACTGTTTTCACTGAGCTTTTCCCACTACTTCCAATAGTAGCAGCCTCAGACCAGTTATAATTATTATTTTTAAGTTCTTCCAACTTGCTACAATAAGATAATATGTCAGAAATATCCTTGATCAGCTAGGTATCTTTCCCACAGTTTAATGCACCCCATACAAGTGGAAATAGAATGAGTCAGCCTGGTTCCCTCCCACCTAATGCAAGAACAAAACAAATACAGTGTTTACATTTCTTTTATACGTGCTATATATCTAGGTCTTATATACATACATATATACACACATACATATATGTTATATATCTAGACACTTGCAGTTAGGGGAAGAACTGTTACACTTGTAAGCCTTTCTCTATATCAGAAAGTGCCTAAAACCAAAAAGGGTTTTAAACGAAAGATGATACCCTTAGATAATTTCTTCTGTTACGAAAGGAACGACAGAACTGCAGCAAGATTCTCAGTAGGTGAGAACTGACAGTGATGTTTTCCCAAGCTCCTTCTCTGGAGGGCACAGCTGGGCTACTTTCAGGCTCAGACTTTAAGTGCTATACATCTTCTACTCCTGCATGATGGGTTGTCTGACGTATTGCTTTTGGAAGCAATTTTCCAGTGGATAATTTATTTCAAGAATGTCCATATAAGTAGCCTGTGACAGGCATTTAAGGCCATTTCCATTGAGGTACATGTCAAAATTCCCATTAGCATCAAAAGGTCTCTTTACTCTTCAGCTGCTACTATAAAATGATACTGACTATCTGAGGTGTGCTTCTGTCCTCCACAGAGACAGCATATATTCTATGCACCATTTAGGCCCCTCTTTTAACCTGTTAAATGGGGCTTCGGCAAGGTATTAATCCTTTATGCAAATTTGAACACCACCCTGAGGGCTCTGTAATGAAGCAAGTTTGTTACCACAGTTCAACAGTAGATGCACAGCCTGATTTGTGAAGTTTGTCCTGGGATTACAGCTACCTCAAGGGTCAGTTTTTGTTTCATGCCCATTACTACTTACAGCCTAATCATAACTAACTATTGTTCAGTGGTATTCTCTTCATAGAATTATTTTGTGACCCCACTAGTAAGCCTGGAAGAAAGTCTATGGCATTTATGCTTGGGTGTAATACAAACGCAGAAGACTTCTTCCCACCTGACTATGGATAGCCATAAGGGAATCATGGACCAGCCAAAGCACTACTGCAAAATCGATGCCAGCACCAAAAGTGTTATGCGAAGCTACAGGCTCTTTAACATCCCTCAAGTGTTCCTTAAGGAGCATTGTCTAGAGAGTCAAATAACAAGAGCAGAATGGTTCAGATGAAGACTACGCCTAATTCTTCCTGATTCATTTTTTTCCCATTCATTTTCATACAAGTGAGCACTTGTATGCTCCTTTTTTTATTTTTGCTCCTGACTTTCAAGGTTCAGAGCTGCCTAGTGTGTGACTTTGAAAGCAGCTACACTTGGATTACGAGTCCATCGTGGCAGCGCAACTGCTGACAACTCGGGCATACTGCTGAAGTTCATCATTGAGGTACCATTTAAATAGACAGAAGCCATCAATAATATACCAATAGTACTGACCTTAGTAGGTAATTTGTATGCTTCTTGAAAGGCAGTCATATACATCTCAGACTGTCTAGAAAAAGGGGCAGCTCATCATAAGTTCATATATTGCTGAAAAGAGAAGAATCTGTTCTTTCAGATTCTATAACCAAAAGCTTAAACTAAAGTCTATGTTCATGACTTGAGTTACAGCCTACAGGGAATAATACAGTGTTACCAGAGAGGCTGTTGCTGCTGTACTCTGAGTAATACTCCTCTGCCATTCTGCTATCATGACTGCAGCAAAATTTGTTCCAGGTTTTGCACCATTTAAAAATGAAGTGGCAAGATTTTAAAGAGGAATTTTAGAAGCTATAGGACTGACCAAGCAGGGGTTGAAGGGGAGACAATTTTAAAAGATACATGGCAAATAACGGTTATCATCACTGCTTCATTTCCAGTACAACTCTTTCTATTTCAGTGAAACAGTGGATTTAATGCAGCATATGGAAAAGGTAACTTGATAGGAAATATGTGAGAAAGACTACGACTCAGATGATAGAAACTATGCAAAGAAATGTCACTGAAAAAAGTCATCTTTTGATTATGGTGAAACTGACTGGGGAAATGAGATAATTTTGCAAAACTGGTGTAATAAAAAAATCCACTTAATTTTCAGATTTCATAAGCATCTCTTTTACAAGCATCAGCTTTCAAGCACACCCACCACCTGTCAAAAATCAAGGAACCTGAATAGCCTCAAACATTGAAGATGAAAAATCCCAAATGTTTTCTCTCTGTTCATGTACCCTGTTTAGACATAGCAGACTGCAACTGAAAACAGATAGTGTGTTTACAACTCCTCTCTGCAGATACGGACAAACAAATTAAAACACATCACCAGAAGTGATTCCATTACTAGGGTAGAATCATGCGATAGACACAACTGAAGTAGACAGCATAGTACAAAAAATAAAACTGTTATTCTTAAAATATCTCTCTGAAACACTTGAGGCTAAAGACTTTAAAAATGTAATTTGTGTCATAAGTGTCCTGGTTTTGTCTGGGATAGAGTTAATTTTCTTCCTAGTAGCTGGAATAGTGCTGTGTTTTGAATTTAGGATGAAAATAATGTTGACAGCACAGTGATGTTTTTAGTTGTTGCTAAGTAGTGTTTATAAGTCAAGGATCTTTCAGCTTCTCATGACCTGCCAGCAAGAAGGCTGGAGGGGCAGAAGAAGTTGGGAGGGGACACAGCCAGGACAGCTGACCCAAACTGGCCAAAGGAATATTCCATATCATATGATATCATGCCCAGTATATAAACTGAGGGGAGTTGGCTGGGAGGGATGGATCGCTGCTCAGGGACTGGCTGAGCATCAGTCAGTGGGTGGTGAGCAACTGCATTGTGCATCACTTGTCTTTCCTGGGTTTTATTTCACTCTTTGTGTTATCTTCCTTTTTGTTACAATTAGTATTATTATTATAATTGTTATTATATTTCATTTTATTTCAATTATTAAACTGTTCTTATCTCAACCCATGAGTTTCACTTTTTTTCATTCTGATTCTCCTCTCTATCCCACTGGGGACAGAAGGGGGAGGAGTAAGCAAGCAGCTGTGTGGTGCTTAATTGCCAGTTAAACCACAACAATAAGAAAAGGAGGTTAAGTTTTGAATCTCTTCTTGTCTTTTTCTAAGGAAGATTAAGTGAGCATTTTATTCACACAGTAAGATATGTACTGCTGTGGGGAAGTGGGAGTAGGGGAGGCTGAAAGAGGATGGATCTTAGCACGATTCCCCAAGCCTTTTCTGGGGACAAGGCTGAAGAGAAAGGGAGTGAGCAGATCCATTGCTGCCCATAGCACCAGGACTACTACTGCAAATGAAACAG